ACACTTCTGTTAAATAAAATCCCCATTCTGACTAAGAACAGTCCTTTTCCCCATATTAAATACTTCTAATGAAAGCATTCAGGAACAAATACAAAAAAGTCCCTTTAAAACATTGTGTACAGGTGCTCATACCTGACATTTAAAATGGATATTGAACTACAAATAGATAATAGTTGCTCCCGTTCCCATAAACCACCCACACACACCTGTTAAATGTAAAACGAACGATACTACCTGTGCTGTGCTTTCCATTCCTTTTCACTGTGTGCGACATGTATCTGTTATTCTGTTATATGTATGTATTTAACATTCTAATACTTTTCCACACAGCAGACAAAACAAAGACAGGGACTTAAAGGCCATGGGAGAAAAGGACCAGGACAGCATCACCCCTGTGTCGCCACCAGAAGCATGCACCATCTGCAAGGCAGGGCCGACATCAGCCGGGCCCCAACACAATCTACTGTAGCTAGGGTTGGACTGGATCGGTGTTGGTCGGTCATTCAAGTCAGGCTTTTGAAATACACTTTTTTTTCTTATTCTTTTTTTTGTAATTGTAATGAATTTTCCCCACAGGCTGCCTCCCAGCCAGGATCCCGGCACCAATCCGACCATGGAGAATAAAAGCTCCAAACAGCTTTAGAGTTCAGGCAAAGCTGCAGAAGAAGAATGCAACAGTTAGTGCGTCTTTGTGCAGGATTTGAGAAATACTGTAGTTCTTTCACTCCAGGGCAATTGAAGTAGATGTAATTTCACTTGTGCTGCTTAAAATAAATCAAGAAACAATTGGCCTCGTGTAAGAACTTTTCATATGAACAAATCTGTTCTTAAGCTTAACTACTGCTGTAGCAAAATATGATAAAGGTTATGTAAAGTTTCATAAAGTAAATTAACAGCCATAATATGTTACATCAACGTTGTCTTAGTCTTCTCTTTAAAGGTTAAGGATTAATAGTATTTAACCGTCCCCATCCAGAGATTAAAACCAACAGTGCTTTGCCTTCACTCACAGTTAATGTCTGTCAGGCTCCAACCTAACCTCCGTTGTTGTTGTTTAAAGATGCTTAAAAACACCAGACCCTGATTTTTGTTAAAAAGGCATTATATTTATCTTTTGCTATAGCACGTTTAAACAGTTCAGTAGTTATTAGGAAAACTGTCAGATGATGATGCTGGGCAGAGACCTGCAGTGTAACGTCACCATATACCGATCAGGCATAACATTATGGTCACCTGTGCACCTGTAGGCACTTCAGTGCAACACTTCTGCCTTAACATTTGTGTTTATGAAGCTCAAAATGTTTGTTTTTGGTGAGATTGTCAAATGTATAAATTCAATTATATGTTTCATTATTAAGGAAATAGTTAAAGGTGATGTACCAGACTACATTGTATTTAGAGGTGTCTGTATATAATGTAGTCTGGTACAACACCACCTTTAACTATGACCTCAATAATGAAACATAATTTATACATTTATGACAATTTCACCCACATCTGAAAGATTTTGAGCTTCATAAACACAGATGTTAAGGCAGAAGTGTTGCACTGAATTACATACAGGTGTACCTATTAAAGTGGCCCGTCAGTGTATTTCTTGGCAAACAAGTGGGTGCAATGACTTCGATACCATCTTCTCATCACAGTGATGTGACCTTGTTTGGCATAGAAATGCAACATGTAACCTCCCCAACACAAAATGATTGTTTTCTCTTTGTGCATAGACTATACAAACAAGAAAATGTACATGTAAAGGTGATGATAGGTTGAAGGGCTAAAGCTGTTTCCCCTTACCTTCAGTCTTTATGCTAAGCTAGGCTAACCACATTCTGACTCAAACTCCATATTTACCACGGGTGTGATATGGAGCCTCTCATTGAATCTGTTGAACTATTCCTTTAAAATATCAATTTATTTGGAAATAGTTCTGTTCAAACTGGATTTCAAATGATTTACAGAAAAAACTAATGTGAAGCTAATAAAATAAAATTTTCCTTGACAACTTTCACAGTCTGCTGCACGTTTTAGCATTAAAAGAAAATGTTGCCCTCTGAAGATCCGTGCAAAGAGCTTTTACAGTCAGCCATAATCCTTGCATGCACCATACAACTGTTACACCACCCTTCAGACTGGTGTTACCACCTTACCTGGGCCTGGGTTCACTGCAGGGGTGCAGCTGGTGCTCCTGAGCAGTGGAAGTGCACATTGAGCCATTTGGCATCACGGCGATGCCACACGCGCGTCTCCTCTGACTGGCAGGAGCGCGGCCGGCCCTGGCTGTCAATGTACTGCGTCAGGCGGATGTAGGCAATGCAGGCAGCATCCTCACCAATCAGGTGGACATGGGGATTGAGAATGGTGGTGTGCACTGGCTTGCTGTTTTTACTCAGCACTGTGGAGATGGAAAGCAGTTCAGCTGGTTGTAAGGGGAACTTGTTCAGGTGTCACCGTTTAGCAAATTACAGCTGCCGGAGGCAACACATTATGGCAGCTTCAAACAGCAGGAGGACAGAACTGTTACGTAACTGGGGGTTAGTGAATTTACATATTAATCACTTCACACTGACATGTGGATAAATTGAGAGATTACAGATGTCTCGCTTATCACTCCACGTTTACCCAAAATTCAGCATGACGTTAGAGTGTTTGGAAATACTACCTCAGCCTTAAATTTCTGTGCCCAACCACATCATACCTGTTTGTAAAGGTGGACACACTACAGAGTTAATAAGGCTAATATCCCTGCCACTACATTTAATGATTTCTAAAGCATGGAGAAGCTGCTGTAATTCTGATTAATCTACAAGTCTGGCAAATCAGTTAATATTGTTTAAGCAGAAGTGCTCCACATTCATTGAGTCCAGCTCTTCAAATGTGAATATTTGGTATAAAAGTACATTGAATACTTCTGGGTTTTAAACTGCTGGTTGGACAAAACAAGAAGTTTGAGTATAAGTCAGTCTGGGCTTGAGAAAAATAATTAGCAATAACAAAATATGAAGTTAGCCTGTGGTGTTAAGGTTTGACTGACAGTTGGTTCAGGTAACAACCTGAACAAATGTGGAAAATTCACAATTTAAAGCATTTTTAACACTGTTTTTGCAAATGTTTCATAAGGAAGAAAGTACAACTCATTCTAGGCCTAAAGGATATACTCTGATTAGGTGAGAAACAATGAGTATAAACAAACAGGGCACCTTTAATTTGGGCCAGGCTGTGTCACTGGCTGCTCCCTGAATAACAGCATCAATATAGTTTGTCATTACTTATTTTCCCCAAAAGGCTGTTTTAATCCTGATGTTAAATATTCATCTCTAACTTTGATAAACAAATACACAACAAATCTTCACAGACGTCACTCAAGCACTAAATTAATAAAGACTGCATTACATATCTACAAAACAGAGTCACTTACGATTCTCAAAGTAGAACTTGTGAAAGTCCATGCCCTCCACCAGGTTTCCAAGCGCTTCTGGCTCAAAAGAAGTCAGCCCAGGGTCACAGATTCTCCTGTCAGAGGTAAACACAAGCACAAGTAAATCTTTGCTTTGCCTAACAGAACTGATCCTGCAGTGAAGGAGGGAAAACTGCTGCAGAACAGATGATGTGACTTTTAAAGCTTTGGTGAGATAAAGGTTCATGTTGGATCCAAACACTCTGAAGTGTGCATTTCACAGGGATATCAGTTAAGAGTTTTTGTGGTGCAGGTGAAAAAATGTTTTCAACAAGGCAAAGCACTTGACTTGGCCACATAGAAATGGAATTTGCAGATGCAAGCTTACGTGTAAGCTTCAAAATCTCCATTGTTGATGGCTTCAATCAGCTGCTCCGTCATCTTTATTATCTCCTGTTTACGAGCTAGAAACAAAGATAGAAGGAGAGAGCAAAGACAACCAGACGAGGTTAAAGTTGGTCAAAAATCATTTGGAGGTTGAACATGCAAGTACCACCTCTGACCTTTGAAGGAAGTTTATCACTAGGTGACGACCTCTGGTAGTAATGACATTTAAAATAAACCGATACAAAACAAACCATGCTCTCCACATTAAAAGTCCAAGTTCCAGTGAATCCTGAACTGCGTCTAACCAAGACCCTTAACTAGATGACTTGTCTCAACTGACAAACCGACAAAAAAAACCTTTCACACATAAACCCACACCAATAAAATCCACAGCAATTTTTTAAATTTAAAACCACCAAAGTATGTAGGAAGTGATTACTCAAATACAACAAAAATTGAGAAACCACCTCACACCACACCAGAAAAGCTAATTTAATATACACAGCTATTGTGGATAGATATACTATAAATTTTCACTTTTTTCACTAACATGCAGCTGCTTATCCAGAAAAACCTGCATGTAACCATGTGTTCATAAAGTCTTAAGAAACATCACTTTATTCCCCCAAGTTCCCAAACCTTCTCCCAACGAATGTCACAGAAGGTTAGAACAGACAGTATGAACACTGCTGCAGGAGCCTTTGCATAAGCACCGCACTACCTGCCTGGCACTTACTCTGCTGCGGGTTGCTGCTGTTGGCTGTGGGGGGCAACATAGCAGAGTCTGGTTCAGGAGAGCACTGAACTGGACTGGTCTGAGGAACATCGGGGCTGCTAGCAGCCTCCTGTAGGGGACCAACTGCAGGCAGGCACCATCATCCAAGTAAAAAAAGTTATAATTAGGAAAGCTGTGAAGCCATGGATAACTATTAACATTATTCTGCACAAAACTACAGTATATCAAGTAGTGATTGCAAGACATTAGAATCCAGAGCCTTGGTTACAGATGATCATTAGAGAGTACAGAAGGGGTGCAGTCTGTAATCAGGCCTGGGTACCAGTAGATGGCAGCACAGGAGGGTGGTGGGAAGAGGTGAAAGTGAAGAGGCCTGATTTTTTCATGTATTCTAATTTATGTGGAGCCTTTTAACACCAAAATGTCTTGTTTTGATTGTAAGGTCGATTTATTTAGGAATGTTGTTGGGTACAACAGGACACAAAGCTCAGAGCTGAAAGTTAAATCAGATAAACCGGGACCAACTTACACATGGTTAGTGGGCAGAGAGGAGACGGGGTCGGGGTCTGTTCCTCAGTAGTGCTGCACTGGCTTAACACTGCACTGTCTGTACTAGTAGACTCACAGGCAGCCACTGCCCCCGTCATAGGAGAGACACAAAGAGATGCACACTGACAGGGAACCTGAGAAGATGGTTCTACAGTCTACTACAAAGTCACAGGTTAATCCATCAATGTTTCAATTAACCAATTGTTGATTCTATAAACATACCAAAAATAGTTTACAATGCCCATCACAAATTCCATCCATATACCTTCAAGCTGCTTGTTTTGTCTGATCAAAATCCCATACATGACATCTCTGCTTCATAAATTCCACAAACACCTTATTAAAATGACCGTTGATTAGTTCTGTCAGTAACTCAAATAACTAAATGGTTCAACAGTACAATCTAACATTCTATCACTAACCACAAGGCACACTGATACAAAGAGGTGGAAACCAACTACAACACAACAAAGTCAGCTGATCCAGACAGGAAATCGAGCCACCTCGTGCAGCCACAACTCTCAGGTCATGTGTGCTCTAAAGTGAGCAGCATTTAAGAAGCTATGTGCACAAGCATCAAGGCCACATGGAGATCAGCAGCCTGTTGAGCTAGACAGGCACAAGTTCAAACACAGCTTCCTTTGAGACAAGTTACTCGGTAACTAAGTAAAACCAAGTTACACCATAAAGGTTATTCTCACACAGTTCATAGAATTAAGATAAACCCGAAATATGTGGTTGGCCACTTGGAGGCAGTGAAAAAACATTGTAGCCTGACAGTGACATGTCATGTTTTAAGCTGACATGGTAAACTTGTTAAACCGTTGCTCATTTATGCACCTGACCCATCATATTACTGTGCAACTGGAGTCTTTGTTTTTGTCAACATGACAAATTTAAGTCTATTATCCACTCATCTGTTTTACTGTAGCTCGGTTTTTGTCCTCTGCCACCTCCTTTAGGTGCTAGATGCTAACTTTGTTTGGTGCTGAGTAGGTAGTGCACAGTGGGTTTCAGAGCTTTGTTGAAAACAGATGCTTGCTGTGTGTGGATACAAAGCTGTGAGAGCAGTGAACCAAAACAGTACAGTTGCAGCTAAACGTCACTATAAATCTCTGTAAATCTCACAGATGTGGTTGATAATACTCTGTAGCTCATCACTATGAGTGAGCCCTTTCAGCATTTGATACATTATTGTAAAATATTGACCATAATTGCTTTAATATGTTAACCTCTCCCATTCCTTATTAAGGGGAGCAGTTAGAAAGACAGAAGAGACTAATGATAGAGGTTATGGGAATTTAATTCACCGCCAACACCAGGAGCAAACTGTCCAGGACAGATGACATCCTTTGATATTCATGACTGTGACACAAGCTTTGTTAAGATTCCAGTGAGCAGATGCAAAAGATTACAGAAGACTGATATTAGAAATCACTTGTGCTATCAACATTGCTGTTACTATGCCTCCACTGTGTAACCAATGAGCTACTAATACATACACATAGCTTTTAAAACATCCACAAATTCAAATGCTGATCAAAACCATGCTAAACGCTGTGCATTTAATCAAACAGAAAACAGGAGGAATGACAACTCTCAACTGCAGGGCAGTGACAATCTGCTATAAGATCGAGTGCTGCAAACCAACTGAAGGCTGCTGAAGCAACTGGATTAACTCCTTCCTGGAAAGTTGCAGGTAACTCTGCCCTACTTCAATCACCTAAAAACAGTAAAGGGTCATCCCAGGCTGAAGATGAGTAAAGGATTGTGGTGTGTGATGTACACCAGCAATCTAAATGAGGCACAGGTACCCACACGGTAGGTAACAGTGAGCATTAGATGTGCAAACGTCAAAGGTTCCTGTATATGAGCCTCTGCAGATCTTGGTAAAAACAGTGCTTGCTCTGACAGCTGTGTATTCTACCAGTCACACTCTGTATAAGTTTTCTCACAGATCCTTGAGGTACATCACAGTCAAGCCATGGTTTCAAAAATTACAGTTCTGTTTGTAGAAAAATGGAGTATGATTGTAGTGAAGAATCAGGTCAGATCTGTGGTGGAAGGGGTCACAATAGCTTGACTGCTGTATGGCAAAGTGGGATTTTCTTATACCACCACTGGGTGGTGCCAAGTCAGAGATGTTCAAATTCAGCGCTTGGTGTCAGTGCGCTGTTGCAAGCTTACAGCATGGAGCCCTGGGTCCTAGGTATTTCTTTAACTTCTCATTGTAAACCTTAAGTATATTTTGTGTAAAAAATGTCGAGTAGAAAATGGAACCAAAGGGGACACCTTCGGATGTCTGGTTTAGTCCAACCAACTGTGCCAAAAACCCAAAGATATTCAACGTACCATCATGAAGAGACTGTGGAAGCCAGATGCTATAACCACAAGTACATTTACACATAAAGACTTCACATCCAACTGTTCATATCACATTTGTCTTTGGGGTGATGGTCACTGGCATCCAACTGTTAAACTTACTGGACCTCTTTGTTGTGGAACAAAAGAGAAATCTCTACCCAGCAAGCACTCATTACCTCCAATATAAAATGAAAAATACAGTACGACATATACTATAATATTTGTCTGATCTGAAGCGGCAAAGCCTGGACAAAGTAATGCCATGAACAAAAAGAGACATGCAGAGTAGGTGAAAGTTGGACAAGTACCTTTCCTACCTTTCATCTCCTCCTCTTCTGTGTTATTGCAGCTCTCTGTGGAGCCCTGTCAAACAAAGGGTTGAGACAAAAAAGCAGATGGACAGAGGAGTGGCAGATGGACTGAGAACTTTCAAGACAAATCATTGTTTAACATGTAAGTAAACCAGACTTAGGAAGCTTTGCAGACAGACACGCACAACCTGAGACAGATGGACGGGTGGACGACTCCCTCCCAGGAACACAAACCAGCCAGGACAGCGGTGAGGGGAAGTGCAGGGAGCCACAAATATCAAAGCAACAAAGTGTGTGAGCAATTTGAAATCGTGTCACTAATTTTATCAAGGAGCGAATAAAGTTGCTTTTCCACTGCATTTTTTTTCCAGTGTCGGTCACTGTTTAAACAAAAGCAGAACTGGGACAAGTGGTATAAGTTCAGTTACGGGTTAGTTACTACAGTGGAAAAGAACTTGTAGTGTGTTCCTCAATGAAACATGTGCTGGCAAATGCTTTGTGAGAAAAGTGTCAAAGTAAATAAAACTGTGAATCAGTATTGGCATTTGAATACTGTACCTAGTGATACTAGTACTTTGGAAGCTTGCACTTTCACATGAAAGGTGACGTGACAGGGGTTCCCATTTTAGTAAAAAGTCTGACACGAGGATTTGAAGTTGTCAGTGTGCATGTGCAGCTGCTGAAGACGGTACGTGTAGGATTTTCTCTTTCATTTAAATTTAATCCTGAAAGGCAGCACTAAAATAATCACATACTTTTACAGTGTATAGTCATAATCAATTCAGGGTTTAGCATACTATTATAAAGTAGCCTGCATTAAGATGAAATTATTTCAGAGCTACCATCGACCAGTAGGACCTGAATTTAAAAACCGGGGAATTAACTAAAAAAAGATTTTTCATTAATCAAATTAAATCTACATTTAAGTAAAATGAACTCAAATAACAAAATTCAAGTTTTCCAGTTAATAAATTCTAGTTGTTGCCTTTACCAGTGAATTGATGCTTAAAGTTTAACCTCTAGAGTCCTGAGCTTTGGAAACCCAAGCTGTGCGGTCCTCATATGAGGACCGCACAGCTTGGGTTTCCAAAGCTCAGGACTCTAGAGGTTAAAACTGAACTGCACAAAATTAGTTTTTATTTAAAAAGTCTCTCTTTGTTATTTCAGTTAATTATTTTGCCACCTGATGTTTAAATCAGGTACAAGAACTCTGATTTGCCAACTGTTATTTATTGGAGGTGCATGTGGGATCAGGCTGTTTAGGGCTACTGTTTTTAAAATTCAAGCATTAATTCATCATTTAAACTTGGGGAAACAGAATTAGTTTATCATTTATAAAGTGTATTTTCATGTACTGATTATAATAATACAGTGAGAAGTCTACATTTAGCCCAGTGGTTTCACAGCGGTGCACCTTCATGCTGAATATAATATAAGTTGCTCTCACTACAAACAGAAGCTGTTCTTCCAGATTTGGGGAATTCACTAAATCTGACTTGCTTCTGAAATCCTTTCTAGTAACCAGGAGGCGACAGAGGACAGCCAAGATAAATTCACAATGTGAGGACAGTCTTTACAGATGTCTTGATGTTTGGAGTATATTTAGAGAAAATCCTCCATGAGTCACCTGTGAGTGTTAGTAGTAGCTGGTGGGGGGAGAAGGAGCGGCTTACCTTTGTGCCATCAGCTGGGTTGTGTACAACAGTTGTCTGGGCTTCCTGGGGGGAGGTAGGAGACACTTTACCATGCAGGAAGGGGATAGACAGGGGCAGCAGGGAAGATGTCAGGGAATACAAACATATTCCGTGACGACAACCACACAAAACAGACGCATGTGCACACAGCAACACAAAGCAGAGGGGCTACGGTACAGACGCTGTGGAGCAGCATTTACTGTATGGTGATTAAACAGACAACTACAGATGTCAACACACTCGGTGTCACTCTGTTCCCTATTTACCAGCAGTGTTGGCCTATAAGTGCACGAGAATGGCCATGAACACACAGAACAGCTAAACACATACTCACCGGCCAGGGCCATGACTGAGGAGGAGGGTGCTGTGTGCGACCGTATGTTTATGTGAGTGTGAGTGTGGGTGCTATTCCAGGTTACTGAATTGTCATATACAATTAGAAATTACAACTGGAAATTCTCTGACATAACCAACACTTAGCACTAAATAATTACATAAGTATCCACAAATGTATCCAGTCCTATGGGCTTAGTTTACCGTTTTTGCTGTGCTATCACATAAGAGTGAAATCTCCTTCCTTTTCAGAAAAGAAGGAATCATTACCAGGCCTGATAAAGGTCTGATGGAATGAAACATGTGAAACCATAAACTCAGGCCACAGGGTTGAGCTTTGTTTTGTTGTTGTTTGTTATAAACACTAACATTTATCAGATGAAGACCCTTAGTCATAGTAACTAAAACATAATTCTGAACAGTGATAGTAGCAAAAAAAAAGCTGCGGAAGCCAGATGCTATAACCACAAGTACATTACACATTATCCCACAGCAGCATTTACCCCAACAAGCCATATAATACTTGCTACACAGCTCAACAACAGTTGGTATTAATACAAAGTTATAATCATGTGAATTTTCGCCCTCATATCTGGTGCAACTGCTGTTGTAGGCAGGGCAGCTGTGGGTTTGTGTGACCACTCCTCATCCTCAGCCTTGACCCTGCCACAAAGATAGTCAGCACAAAGCAATTCAAGTTTGCATTGTTTGGAAACTAGAGTCACAGTATACTGGTGTCATTCACAGAGTGAAGCTCCTGAGCAGGATCAAGAGTGGACCTGGTGTCCAGGAACTACAACCCCAGGACATGCAGCCCCTTTGATGACATACGGGATGAGAAGGAATTTCAAATGTTTAAAGGTTTTAGGACATGTTTAAAGTGTTTAAAGGGTTTAAAGGTAAACCGGACACAGTGGTTTTATTATTGTTATTTGCTGGACTGCAAACAGTAAAAATTTTTTTTGTTTCTTTCTAGTGAGGCTAGCTGTTTCCCACTGCTTCCAGTCTTTATGCTAAGCTAAGGTAATCACCTCATGGCTCTAATTCAGTACTTTTGGATAGTATAAGATCTTCACATTTACACTGTCCAATACAAGTATTCCAAAAATGTCAAATTGTTATTTTAAACTGTTGAAACTGTGTTTTTTATATATACACATACATACAGTGTGTGTGTACATACACACACACATACACAGTATATAGCAGTTAATATAATCTATTAGTTTTCATAGCTATCATATCAGACTGGAGTGACAGCAGTGCAATTATCTCACAGACTTAGCTCTAAATTCTGTAATTCTACCTTTAAAAACTGACATTTATTCAGTTTCCAGACAGTATTCAGACATACTCAGCAATGTATAAATTTCTGCCACACCTCTGTGGACCCACAGGTATAATCGTCTTTAGACAGTTCAGGTCTGAAAAGTGGCCACACAGTAAACTTTACAGATTCACTAGCTCGTGAGAGGAGATGTGTGACTTTCATTAAGATTAAGATGTTTCATGCTATCCTGCCATATTTCAAACCTGAGGCAAGCCTTGTTTAAACTCTGTTGTATAATGAATATATCACTCAATCCCATTAATTATTTGAAAACAGGGGCTGCATCCTCATACAATTATCTCTCTCCAGCTCCTGCTTTACCCAGAATTCCTTGTCATTTACGATTCACGTTAAAGAGCAATTTGTAAAAGGCAGTTGTTTGATGTAGTAGAGATTCAACCTTTGTGTTTGAGCTCTGCTTTCCAGGGAAGTGCAATAAACCTGTCCTATTTCAAAGGCAAAGCATCAACAAAGCCCAGGTGACACACAAAGAAGTCAACAGGATGAGGCTGAGCAGAACTTGACTGAAGTGTGTGCTGTTGTACTGCAAAATGAAACACATTTGTCTACCTGTCAGAATGTGTGCAATGTGTAAATATTATGTATCAGTGTGTCCACAGGAAGTCTGGGAAAACACGAGCCAGGAGAGACAATCAAAGGCACAAACCAGTTGTTCAGTTTTAAAGTCGTCAAACCCACCAACATCACAGTTTGTGTTCAGAACAGAAGCAAAGAGGCAGATGATGAAGGACGAGAGAGAGAGGCCAAGTAGAGGAAAGTTTTTACTCAACATGGGATGTGATAAAAAGATGAGAAGGCAGAACTAAGCATTAAAATGGTGAAAACTATGAAATGATGCCGTAAAAAGCAATGTGAGAAAAACCAAACAAAGATAAGGTACCATTGGTGCCGAGGATGACATGCTGCTGTCTTTGGTGCTGCTGCTGCTTACTACACTGTTTTTACTGTTGTTTCCCTGCGACTGGGGCAAAGAAAAATAAACATAAAATAACTGCTCCCACTGGGGCCAAACCATAAACCACCATCTTAGGTGAGAAGCAGGAACAGAGCCATTACCCGGCCAATATAAATATTCCACTTACTGTAAGTGAGTAAAGCTGCAGTCAGGAAGTGGGGAGTATTATATGTGTTCAGTGCTAACCTGTATCAATCACCTGCACCTTGCTGCCATTTTAAAGAGCAGTTGTTTTTATATTATGCTGTGTGATCGCTGTGTACATACGTGTCTTGAAAATAACCTCTTTAATCTATTACATGACCCTTCTTTTGATAATCAGGAACCTGTGTCCTGCTCCGACACCAGTGCAAGTACAAATGTCTTAAATGGTTTAACTGACATGATTAGTTTTTGTTTCTATTATGAAGCCGTCTATTGAGTTATTGAAAGGCCTAGTGTATGCTTTTATTAAATGTGTGCAACCCTGCAGTAAAAACTTTTAAAAAGTAAAAAATACAGGACAGTTATTCAGCACATTTTAAAACATTGTACATATTTTCAGACTGTAAAGTAAAACAACTGGGGTCTGCTGGGATAAACAACAATCACAGGTTTCTACTGTAAACTAAGTACCAGCCATTTGTGGCACATTTCTGAAAATAACTTTATAATAATGGTTTCCAGTCCAGGTCTGTGCATGCAGTGAAAGGCCTTGACGTCTTAGTGATTTGTCTTAATTGTGGAGAGTAGTGTGTGGGCATGAAGGTATGTACTGCCTGTTGTTTTTCCTTTTTAACTCATGCAAAGTCAAGTGTTTACATTATTGGGGAATTTGACCCTAAAACAGCTTTGAAAATGTACTGAATTAAAGGTATCTGTCAAAAATATCAGCTGACTAAATACCTAAAGAAATATATATTTGTATATGTATTTTTACATTGTTACTTTATGCTACTTCTAATATGCAGTGTGACATCCTAAATCTATTTGGTCTGTTTCTAGTTCATTGGTGATGATCTGCAGGTGACCAAGACAGAGTAAAAGACCAAGTGTTAAAAACAGTTCACTTAAATGAAAAATAATGAGGGTAAAGGGTTGGGGTGAGGGGGTTGTATATCGACATTTGCAGAAATTAAAACTTTGACTGTCAAGGATGTTGGTAATAAAGTCAAACTGCCTGATCATCATTCATAGACAGATGGGTCAGAGGAGGGTGTGTGTGTGTGTGCGTTTGTTATTTGCAAGGAGCAGAAATTGTTTTGGTGGCACTTATGGCAGACAGAGATGTTGGATGAAAATGGAAAATCCAACACAAATCAAATAAGATTAAAAACAAACGATATAAAAACACCCGACACAGACCGAGGGAGTGGCCGACCGGAGAAAGGAGATGATTCAGAAAGAACGAGAGACAAAGAATGCAAAATGAATGAAAACGACAGATCCGATCTCACCATCAAACAAACACTCGAGCTGGACTTCCTTTTCTGACAGACAGCAATGGAAAGGAGGAGGAAAAAATAAGGGGTCATCGGGAAACAAAGAACTAATCAAAATACTAAAAAGTGAAGCTGCCAGACTGATCCCAGAGAGAGAGAAAAACAAAACAGCTGCACAAGCTTGAACGAGAACAAAGATGGGACAAAGGGCTTCAGAAAATAAGGAATCAGCTGAAAACAAACAAACAAGTGACTTCCTTTTTAAAGGCAAACTGAAAGTTTAAATAATTGGTAGTGTAGTTTATTTGTGGGGGTGTTATTGTTTTAACCATTGTTACTGTAATGGGAATTTTATTTTAGCCCTTGCCGATCATGGTGCTTCACTGCATGCATTGACGCTGACTGTTGATCAAAACCAAACGAGCACCAAGACACAACAGCCGCTCGAATCGCTGTGAATCGAAGAAAAAGATCTGCTGGTGAAAAACAAACAGCATTTAAGTTCTGTTGCTCTTTATTATGTCCCTTATCTTGACTTTAATCTCAATTCTCTATTACCTCTGCCCCACCCTTAACTGCTAACTCATGAACATGATCAAGCGGCAGCTTTATTTTTCAATCCTTTTCCCTAAGCCACAAAAAAACCCCATCATTAAATCACATTTAATAAACTTTAGAGAAAGTAACAAAAGATAAAGAACAGGAACAAGAAAGCTCTTCCATATGCTCATAACATCAAAGATACATGTTATTAAAGAGAAGTTCGGGACAGAAGGTAGGAAGAGTAAGTATTATAAGACAGTGAAGTCAATAAAACCTTCATGGGTCAAAGAACTTACCTTCACACCGTCAGACTTTTTGTTTAGTAAGGTTTTGCATGCTGAAAGAAAGAAAAGACAACAAGGACACTGTGAGAAACAACTGCTCAGCAAACAGAAAAGCTGTTGCGATCACTCAGACAGTGGGACAATTCACCTGACTTCACAGGAACAGAGCAGACCTGTTGAATGAAGGACACAACCATGTGCTTTTCTCCAACACTCAAGTAATCAGGCAAATGTTTAAAAAGGAATTGATACAGATGATACAGAAATAGCAAACTGATAATTAAGTGTGCAAATGGGAAAAAAAAAAAAAAAAAAAAAAAAAAACAGCATCTGGAGAAAAAAAAAAAAAAGTCCTTACCGGTTTCTGTTGAATGGGCGAGTGATATTAAGAGAGCTGGAGGCAGTTTTGTAGTGTCCAGCAGAGCCAAATCCATTCACGAAACTACTGTTGGGAAACGGTGCCTGCACAAAGAGAAAGGTCATATTAATAAATCCTTTTCCCTATTCTGGATGCAGAACTGCTTTAGAAAAACAAAGTTATTGTGTGTTTATGTCTAGTGGCTGTTCAAAATGCAAGAAAGGAAGGACTCATCTGAATTCACTCTGCATTTCCCTTCAAACATGGTGGCGATGACTAACAAGCAATTATGTTTTTCTTTCCCTTGTGGAAATTAACCTCCACTTGCGTAAACAGCGTCAATTTCAAAACAACATTATGAGAAAAAATAAAGGGGATTTGGGGCACTATTGACAATACAATTTTAAAGTTTAGTTATCCTTTTATTTTATTTGTAATCTAATGAAAAAGTCCCTTTTTAATATACGTTTTCTTTTTAACATTTATTCATCCCTATTATATCCCTGGTTGTACAGCAACTACATTTCTATTTTAACATACTTTTCAGGTAAAATAATCTTCCATACTATCAACATTCTTGTAAGCAATTAAAAGCGGATAAAACGAAAACTTAAGTCTCTTGGCTGCCGAAGCACTAACATTAATTTCAGCAACGCAACACGGCTTAGCAGGACCATTGATAACTGATTCAGAGTCGACAGCCCTCCACTCTCAAATGGATGGATGAATTAACTAATGAATGAACTGGGTTACTTTCTGAACCCATGAGGTGTTTTCAACTACTTGTTGGAACAACACTGTGAAAAGCAGCAGGCAGGAACAAAAAGGCACAAATTCACACTCTGACACATCTGATTGGGCCTGTAGGTCCATCACCACCGACTGTAATCTAACCAGCTCACGTGAAACTGTCCATCATGCACATTAGTGCATGCGTCTGAAATCCTGACCGCTGGAATAACATAGAAATGTCATTAACACACAGCTAACAGGAAACGGAATAAAACGTCCACAATCATGCAAGAAATTAGTTAAAAATAAACACATTCTCTTACTGTTCAAACACATATTTATGTTAGAGTCCTCCCTTACCTTCCGTGTATAAAGTAGGAAGGAGGGCAATGAAGAAGGCAAGAAAACAATGTATTTAATATCCATATCTTAATATCTAAACTGAAAACAAAACTGGAAATGACAACTGCAGGCACAAACACCTGTCAGGCCTTCACTCTTTAATCATGTTCACAGAGGTGGTGGGTTCATGCGATGATAGCAGCTTATCACCATGTCTGGCATGCAGCATCCACGTCAAAGTGTTTATCTGAAAAGATGCTTAGGAGAGTGCATTCCCAGCGGTTCCAAAACGGAGCAGAAACCTTTAAAGTTCACGACAACAGCTCTGCAAACTCGTTCTTTGCAATAACAGAAACCCATTAACAACTTGGCGACAGTGGATGTGCTTCTCAATCAAACCATGTTCCCTGTATGAACAGCCTTTAAAAAAAACTGCTCACCGTGTCACATGACTACATTCACCTGTGAAGGCTTCAGTATGCTTCAAACAATCTAGTCTATACGACCTGTCGACCAGTCACGTGTGAAGGCAAAAGGCTTGCGCTGCTTTGAATCGTCACACTCAGTGATGAGGGGTAAACGCCTGTTGCCATAGAGAGGGAAGGCACTTGATGAATCAAATGGGGCACAGTTTTGGCCAATGGCAAGTGGTATACTTGTGGGACTGCCACTTTTAAATGGCAATAAGTATAAAAAGCTATTTTAGATGTGGAGCTGTATAAACTGCCAATAGAGGTCAACTCTCTTTCTGCTAATGGGTAGACTATTAGGTTTTTTTTGTGTTTTTTTTTTTTAAGGATTTCATAACATGCTAAACCAAACATTTTTATATGATAGACTCCACAAGGGCTGATCTCTTAAGGCCAATTCATGGTTGCCTGTTTATGGTGTCACCATATCCATTAGTCACACCACTAGCTTCTCTCCCTTCTCTCTTTTGTCCCAGCTGCTGTTGGCTTTTCAAATACTTAAAGCTGTTACTACATGCCAGTGGCTGTAGCTTCATACTAGTGGTTGATGTTTTCTAATGTTATTCATTTGTTGTCCATTGTGATTGTGGCGTGATTGCTACTGGCTGTACAACAATTTGCACCTTGGGGATAATAGCTGTCTGAATCTGAAGTTGCACTTGAGTTTTGACCTCTTCATGTTCCTACAAGCACTCTGTTTGAAGCATACTGATGCCATTGTGTTTCAGATAAAAAAAATAAAATAAAAAGCAGAGCAGGCAGGAAAGAGAAGAGGAGACAAAGGAAAACATGTGCATTCTGTTTCTCCAGGCTCCCATGCAGGTTGGCATACTATACTGTAAACCCATTCACATGCTCTGCTGGCTGTTTGAGCCAGAGCCATGCGGAAGAAAGGTTGCAAAGAGGCATCAACTGGGCATCAGTCAAGTACTGTAGATACAAACCATGAGGAGTTTTACAAACATCGAATGCTGGTGTGTCTACTTATATTTGTTATATCAACATTTAAAAGGCTTAGCCCGCAGAAGAATTGCTATGCAGCCTGCACTAGTTGTGTTAACGCAGAAATGTGTAGCAAAAAAAAAAAAAAAAAAAAAGCAAAAGATATATCAATATTGGCAAGGGTTAGATATATTTTGGACAGGAAAGCACTACGCATTTTGTATTCTTCATTGATTTTACCATACTTAGAGTATGGTGTTGAAAACTGGGGAAATACATACAAAAGCTCACTTCAACCATTGTATATATTACAAAAAAGAGCAATAAGAATTGTGCATAAGATGGGGTATAGGGATCACACCAATGGAGCTTTCATACAGTCTAAATTGTTAAAGTTGTTTGATTTAGTGGGATATAAGACTGCAGTGTTTATGTATAAAGCCAGGAACAATTTATTACCTGGTGGAATTCAAAAACTATTTAACATGATGATATGTTTTTAAAAATAGCAACTGTTTTTCAGAAATAATTCTGGACTCTGTCTTACAGGAGAAGAATTGCAGAGAAGGGCTCATCACCTGAACCTGACCAGAGATCAGTAAGTACCATTTTATACCAATGGTAAGATGATGTCATGGGGTAGGACTGGATAAGTCTGACTTCTTCCTACTCCATTCAAGCATGTACTAGGTATAAGCACATTGATATTGGATTAGCATTTGTTGGATATGTGTAAAATTATGTGTGTTGACATATCAACTGTCTTTACATGCTTGAAAGAATAAATCAAATCAAATCAAAATGTGTAAACAGTCTGGCTCAGTAAGTAGCTGTGGTAGTTGGAAGGAGGTCAGAGGGTCATGCTGGGTATCTGTTAAATGGCTGCCATGTTTGACATGGGAAATTAAATAGCCAGTCCTGGAGAGGAGCTCTGTTCATTAGAGCATCAGGACACGCAGTAGTAAAAGGTCAAGAGCTGAGCTTTGTTTGTGGCTTCCATTTACATGGGTGTGTGTTGTGTATTAGATGCTCCGGTGCAATGACAACCATTCAAAGGTGGTCCATCAGTGTGCAGCCAACAGGCAGTAGGTGGAGGGGTTCAAGCAGCCCAGGCCACATGCCAAGAGCCTGAGTATGAATTTGGCAGTGCCCAACTCAACACCTCCTCTAGTAGACGTACCTTCCTGTGCCATTGCGGCCGTGCTGGTGGTAGCAGCAGGGCTGGTATGCTGCCGTCCCACTATTGGACAGAGAAGGATTCAATGTGGTGCCAGAGGTAGGACATGAGCCTCACTAAAGCTTGACAGCCTTATTCTTTCTGGGTTTCTTTAAGTTAATCAACTTTAGAGAGTGAAAAAACATGGCATGTCTAGAAAGTATTTGGACCAAGCAGGCATATAGATCCTGTGCCATCCAGTGGGCTGCACAGCATTTTACCTTTAAAGATAAGATTTTCCCTGATACCTTACCCCTCGTTATCAGGATAAAGTGAAGCAGTAGACTGGAACCAAAATACCTGGGCCCTGAAACTAATAATCTTATGTCCATGGACATTCACTTGATAGACATACCCACAGTTACATGTATAAAGTAATTCAGAGGTTTGGCCTGTCTGCTTTCTTCACTGTCTTCAGTCTAGATCAATCTTGCCCGGTACAAAGTAGTTGGCCATATTCCACAGGAGCTCCTTTACTTACATGAAAGCATATAAACACAGGGCCAATAGCATTAATCCATTACGCCATCATCCAGGCCGCAAATTGGGTGTTCAATCAAAGTGCACTGTGTTTTCAGTGACCAAAGTGCTTACAAGGAGGAAACCCAAGCCAAAAATCAAAACTGCCGACAAAGCTGACAAGCAAATGTGAACAGGAATAAAAGGTTTGCAGTTAAGGAAATTAGATTCAAGGCAAAAAGCGATTGCAGACAAGAAGTAGAGTAACAGAACAACACCAATACATATCATTTGCACTGTATGAGATATCAGACTTGGAAAAAGTGCTTAGCTGTAAAGTGTCCACAACTTCAAACTGAAATCTCATCATTGAGACTAAAACTTTTAAAATCTTTTTTATTGATCACATTTATTCTGTGTTTGTCACTCATATGTTAAGCACTTTAAGCTGCATGAACCTGTGTGTGTGTGTGTGTGTGTGTATATCACTGTCACTGCTCACCTGAGAAGTTTCTGGACACCAGCATGGTGGTGAGAATGGCTCCCTGGAGGAGAAGAGAGAAGTGAAGGAGGTATAATAAGTGCAGAGATTTTCATTTTATTAAACAGGATTTCAGTTTTTATCCTCTCACTTTAAGTTTCCTCCTGGCGTTGAACTTGCGCAGGCATTCCACAGTCTCTTGACGGTGCATCTTGGACGGCACATTGGCACGCTGCTGTGAGTATAAAAGAGAAAACAACATTATAGATAAAGCTAACTTTAATATAATAAAATGAAGATGTAAGACACTGCTTTGACTCTCATATGATGAATTCTACACAACAAGAAGTTCATTATTTTCTCTACTAGGACACCTCCCAGGAGTAAATTGTTTGTCTTAGTGGTGGTGGGTGGTGCACTAATGACATCTTTATATAACCAGGTGGTAAAAACCTCAATATGATGGGAAAAAAGCACTGAAAATTAAACTATCCACTGCAGTAATCCTGCTGTAGAGGCCAACTTTGGACAGTGGGGGGTGTAGTTTCACCATATGGTGGAGCAGCATTTGTGCATAAGATTTGACTGGGAATCACGATGTTCACCAGTGGTGAGATAATTCATTAATGATCCTGTGTGGTTTAAGAATTACGGCAGTACTGTGCTGTAGTTAACTCAGGTATGCTGATGAAATGAAAACGGTAGCCTACACTACCAGAATGCATTACCTGTCAAATAGGTAGGAAACTAATTCTGAAGCTTTCTGTGTTTTATATTTTCATTTCTACTGTATTTTCATTGTGTTTAACCATATGAAACTGTTTTGTTTCCATGATAAATGCTAAGGTTGATTAGTGAGCACCAGTGCTACCGGTATGCATTTGCGTGGGGCAATGTTTTGAATGTTTTCTGGTTTCCTCTGCCTATTTTTTAAGTATGTTGTGGACAATTTGTGCTGTACTGTGGCATATCTGTTACATATTTTTGCTGTATTTTTCCGTATTCTTGCTGCACACGTATTGTGGCTTTGATGTCATTTCTCCAGGTACCCTGGTTCCCTCCCACAGTCCAGAGGCATACAAGTTAGGTCGGTGACTCCAAATTGCCCAGAGGTGTGAATGGTTATCTATGTGTCAGACGTGACAGACTGGTGATCCGTCCAGGGTGTAACATGCCTGTCACGCAGTGACGGCTGGCTCCAGCCCCACTTGACCTTCTAGGATAAACAGTATAGATAATGGACAGAGAAGTAGTTTTCAGAACAGGTAACAGTATTTTTTTTGCTCCCCTTTTTAGTACATTGGTTAATCCCTTGAACTATATTTGTACAGTACGTGTTTCAGTCCACCCAGAACCAAACATTCTACTCTAGTGTAAAATGCAGGTCTCTTTTTTTTTCAACTGTAGGATTAAATTGTGCTCTGTGCCAAAAATGAACAGCTTAACATGTTACAATGCAACTGGGAGTGTGTGAAAGCTCCTGGTCATGGTGTCCTGCCAAAGTATTCCTAAATCAAACCAATGTATGACTTGGGTAGATAAGGTAGATGGTAAAAAAAAAAATGTTTGTAGCTGTACACCAGTGTGGAACATGTCTGAAAAAAATGTCTCTTCATGTGAAAACCAAAGAAGAAGAAAGTGTGACTTGCATAGACCCAGGGATGCTTGAGAGCCTGATCTGCAGTGATCCTTTTGGCAGGGTTAATTGTTAACATCTGATTGATTAGATTCTTGGCCTCAGGGGTCACTGTGTCCCACTCTGGAGAAGGAAACTGACAGAGGGAGATAAAGAGGAGGGAATATTTCAAATGTACAGAACATTTTATCCCTATTATGCTTTCATTGAGAATTTTATCATGGAACAACTGGCTTAACACACATGCACAGATATCACACATTACACAGAGACTTGCATAAAGAGTCAACTTGCAATTTAAAAATGATTTTCCCTGCTTGTCAAGATCAGGTGTAAACAAAGCACAAACAGGATTTGCAGGCTGAGGTCATGGAAACAAACATTAAATACATACTTTTAGACAAATGCAACAAAGGCTATTCAGTGTTTGATTACTGTAACACAAGCAAACACTGGATGAGGAATTTGAGCTTATTAAACTGGACCTTGATCATAAATGAGCTGCAATTGAACTTTTCTTTCATTAAGACATTTACGAGCACATTCCACTGCAATTACCTCAGTAACACCCATGTCAACACCATCTCCACCTGCTCTCTCTCTCGCTCATAAATATTTCATTTAATCTGTCACTTCCAATGAAAATATTTAATGGCTCCTAATATACAAATAATTACACTAAAGAGTATCATGATTTTATGATATTTAGTAAACAGGTGCTGAATGTGTATACATATTACTGTCTTTGCTTTTGTTTTGGAACATGTATAATAAGTGGAACAGAAAAATGATTTGTCTTTGTTTTGATTGGCTGTTTCAGAGACATAATAAAAATAAAATAGTCTTTGTTGAAGAAACAAACTGAAGGATTTTCAAACTGTGCTGCCTCCAGTAAGTCAGTGCATAAAGTTCTTCAGTAGCAACAGGAGGAGTTTGCAAAGTGTTTCTCCCGCTCCAGTCACCCACCACCCCTGCCACCCTCGTCCTTCCATCCAAGTGGTATAAAGTGCATGCAGTCACGTTTACAACTAAAAACCCAAGTCAAGACATTTGCTTCAAATGTTAAAGTTGTCAATTGCTAACCAAAAAGAAAAAACATTATGCATGACAGTGATGATATTCCAGAAGTGCACATTATTACAAGTGCTTGTCACAGTCACCTCGTGTCAGTGCTCACATTATGCACATTCATTAGACGTGTTGCTTCCAATTATGGAAATTAATACCGGTAATAAATTCCTATCTCCCTGAGGACTATGACATCTGATAAGTAGGCCTATTGCTCTCTCATAGTGTATCACTTTTTACAACAGCACTGATAATAAAAAAAAATTATACTAACAAGCAATTAAAAATAACATTGATTCATTAATTTTATTTTTAACTTCCATAAATGAAAATGGGAAAGCAGTACTCACATCATATGCACCGGCCTTGATCTGTTGGTACAATTTGTGTTGGTCCTCGTCCCAAAAGGGAGGGTAGCCCACCAACAGGATGTACAGGATCACACCTGCCACACATACACATGAAATCAACAGCATAAACCCACATACAGCACACACACAATACAAGGTGACTTCTGAGTAACTGACCACATGCCCAAATGTCCACAGGTTTGCCGTATGGGTCCTTTCTCAACACCTCTGGGGACAGATACCCTGGAGTTCCTGCAAAACCTGTGAAAATACAATAGCACTTATTTGAACTTTGTCTTGAGCTCCATGAAAACACAGTAGTGATAAAGATATTGCTTCTGATTTGAGAGTTAAGCAAGACTAGGACAATGACATTCTAAACATCTCTTCTTGATTGTACCTTTACTAGATACAATAATATCCTATTTTGTGTTGTATGTGTGTAAAACATATTCACAATAATATATTAATATAACTTCAACTGTTTGAGAAGTCATTAAAAAGGTGTCAAGTGTTTCCCTCTGAAAATATTTTTGTATTTTATATATTTTAAAAAAAATTGTATTCAGCCTTTTCCCCCACCATAAAAACCTCATTGATCAAAAATGTCTTCTACAAGAGAATCATGGTTGAGTATGTCACGTGTTCTTATTACCTTTCTCTTATAATTATCATCATTATATTTCACTAACACGTGCACCCTAGCATGCTATTAATTGAATACTTTTATTTTCTAAAGCAGTGATGGTGGGTTTCTTGCCAAAGCAAGCACTGCTACTGTAAATGAGCACCAAAAGAAACAAAGTTCAAAAAAAATAAAAAAATTTTTTTTTTTTACCAAACCACGCCTGCTGGTCCCCCTGCACCTCGATGGCTAGACCAAAATCTGCAAGCTTCACCGCTGCTTCCTTCATCTTACTGGCCAGGAGCAGGTTCTCTGGCTGCAACACACACAGACAAATAGTTCTTTAGAATGAAATGTTTTCATACAAACAGCTGACACATTCCCTGCACAAGTTAGAACAGATGATTCCATATTAGTCTCGACAACACACACAAAAAAAGGGTTCAGATTTTTCCATGAAGCAAATTCTCATTTGAGAAACCGTACGCTAATTATTTTATTTCCACTTCCAGACAAAAAGTCTATTATTCACTAAAAACAGTTTGTTACATTTGTTCTTCTACAAACTCCATGAAGCTTTACAAATTAAACTAGCACAGTTATGAACAAAAATATTTGTAAATACATTTAATAAGGAAAAAGGGTGAGAGTAAAACATGTCCCCTTAGTCCCCCCTGTCCTGTCTGCATAACATGGCAAGCAGCGGTTATGGTTAAGGGGTAGGGTAATGCAAGTGTTCAGGAAATGAATGTAGGTCAATGTAAAGTCCCCACAAGGAATGAAAACAAACGCGCACGTGTGACTTGAGGGCAAATGTCTTTGTAGCGCTTAGCCATCCTCGTCGCCTCCAATGTAGACAGATGGACGAACGTCTGACACTTGTACAAACTGTGTTTGTGTTCTTAGCCTGTTTCCTGTCATCTGTCACTCTCTCCATCCATGCACCCATTTACAATGTTTCCTCTCTATCGGTCAGAGCTGAAACAACAGGAAAGAGAGGGGAAAACACTGCACAGGGACACTGAGCTGGAGTGAAAGCAACAGAAGAACAGAGAGACAGACAGAGATAGATAAATAGGAGGTGGCATAATGAGTCCCTACGCTGGCGCTGCAGCAGCCGGGTGACCTCACCCCACAGTTACCATGGCAACCCATCCTGCCACCAGCCGACAGCACTCAACTCTTTCTCTCTAATACTTGTTTTCTCTTCAGCGAGTGGCTCTCCCAAGATGACAGGAAGGCAAAAATATGACGAGTGTGTGAGGTCACACCTCTCCATAGCACACTGTGTCGGCGTTATTAGTATGTTTATGGCTCCGATGTAACTGGCACTTTGGGTGGCTTTATCCCACCAGGCTCTTCGAAAAAAAAATAAAAATAAATGAATGAGTATTATTTTGGCGAATTAGAAGCGGTGGGACAAGCTGTAAACAGGTATAATAATTTACACCATTGTAGTGTTGAATGTGCTAGCAACTAGTTGTGTCTTTACCCAGACACAGCAACATTAATTTGGAGTTTTGTTTCTGGCCATGTGACATCAAAGTCGAGTATTCAAACATTTGCCATATGCTGTAAATGCATGTAATGTAATGATGTTTATACTGTGTGAAACATTTTCTATGTTGCTTCATGCCAGCAGATGAAAATTTCCAGATATCTTGTTAATAATTTACATTTCCACCAAATTCAACCTCTCATATTTGATATTTGTGGAAACTCTGGGAAACTCTACTAAAATTAAAATACATTTTAGTGTGACTAAACAGTATTTGGCTGCACAGAATGAGTTTATAATGACTGCCCCATCAGCAGGTCAATGAAGTTTAAAGGGTTAGTTCCAAAATTGATTTTTGTTGTTGTTGTTGTTCAGTATGCCTTTTAAGAACTTGCAGTAATGATGCAGCACAGCTACAGTTCAAATACATGGAGATGTATATTAATGTAATTCATTTGTCTTCTGCACTTATCTGCCATCATTATCGTCCTTTCAGTAAATCTGATACATATGCACGATAAAAATCAATGAAAAGCAACAAAGTCCATTTGCACCACTCACAAGCAAAAACTGTTTGTCTGCTTACCCTAGAGTAATGGTTTAATTTTGCACCATCACATAAAAGTAATGAACCAGACTGTTAAGTAAACTATTAAAGTTTAGGACTCTAAACTCAGTACTGGCAATGAAAGAAAATGTGATGCAATTATCAAGGTGTTTAAATCTCAGCTCACTTTGCTGTTGTCACTGACCATATTACTAAAATCAAAATAACGCAGCCAAGGAGGTCAGAGTGCCGTTTCTGCTTGGGGTGAACAATCTTGCTGTGAGGGAAATCATCATCGGCCGTCATTTCACCCACCGACCCGCTATTAATAGCAGCTGGTCTGCTTTCGTCACTCCTCAGCAGCACAGGCAGGAGAGGATAGGACAGAGAGGGATAGTTGGAGAAACGAGAGGAGGTACAGACACAGAGAGATGAGAACAGAAAAATACGGGCGGAGGAAAGCAGGTGAAGAAAGGGGCAATGCTCGTCCCTCAAGTTGTTCTTCATGTTCTTAATGTCGTGGTGTCTGTGCAAATGTGTTCAGACCTGTTGTGAATCTCCATAAACCCCTTTCATCTTCATTCATTCAGAGATTTCTGTGGGTCAGAAAGGATATGATAACTCACCTTGAGGTCCCTGTGCACAATGTCATGCTGGTGGATGTGACTGACGCTCTCCAGGATCTGATTGATGCACTGGCTGGAGGAACACAACAGCTAGTGAGGATTTAAAAAATGAACCTCAACACAATGTCCTCATCATTGGTCTTTTGTTTATATTTTCAGTGTTAGAATTACTACCGTGTCTTTTACTGTGCTTGACATTAATAAAAGTGAACTATTAACAAAATTTTATACCTAAATGTCATATGTAGGAAAACTAACATGCATATTCACACGTTAGCATTATGACATACTGTACCTGGCATCTACCTCGCTGTAATACTCTCTTGCAACAATGTCCTCAAACAGCTCTCCTCCAGTGACACTGCAGACACACACATTAATTCTCTTTTCTGCTATAGAGGAAGCAACTTGAGACAAAGAACATCCCTCTCACAAAGGAAATATACATGTTACAGTCATTATCATGACAAACTCTTTTTTTTTTTTATTGAAACAAAGAAACACATTAACAAAACAGTACCGAACACGAGACAAGACAACAGTTGCATGACATTACAAAAGGATATAGAGTGTTTAACAAGGTTGTAGTGTGTGAAGTGTGGGTATTTCCAACTTATGCAGTCTATGAAATGCAAGAAAGGGAAAAGGAGGGAAAGTAAATAAAATAAAAATAAAAAATTTATAAACTATTCTTGTGAGTGGATGCCATTTTCTCTAATGTGATGTATTCTGTCAGAAGGTTGGTCCAGTGGTTTATGTGTATTGATTTTTTTGATTTCCAATTTTGAAAGATTGTTTTCTTGGCAATAGCTAGAGAAATGAGGAGTGGGTTTTTATATTTAATTGGTAGGTGGTCGATTTCTAGGATATTACCGAGTAAGCAAAGTGATGGAGAAGGAGGGATTCTACAGCCCAAGATGGTGGAGAGTTTCTCTGTCACTGCTATGACAAACTCTTTCAGTGAAACTGGTATGAGGCCCAACATGTTCAGTATTGATGTGCATGTGCCTCGTGCTCTGACTTCACTGGCTGCTAATAACTCAAGACTGACTTTCATGTCTTATCTGTACCTCAGATGGAAAAAAAATAACCAAATGACAGTAGAGCTTGACCTGAAATGTCTTGCAATATTTATTCAGCACAGTTTTTGAACTTAAACAATTATGTGCTGAACGATACGATCTGAAATGTGAAATGAAATGCAGTTGCATCTCAGTGAATTAATTACATATGTGAAGGAAAGTGTTACAAAAACGAGAAACATTTTATTCAAAGTACTGTAAGTTGGCTACAACTTGTATCTTTATACTGAGTTAGAAATATAAAATTTGATATTTAACATGCACTGTTTTCACAATATAGTCACAGGGTTTTGATTAGAACATACAGTACGTTACACAAAATAGATGTAGAAAGAAGCAATGACCAGTATGAAAAAGAAAGTTTGCCCCTCTCAACCATCATTTTTATTTGTGGGGTAAACATGGCAAAAAGAGAGTGAGATTTACACCACCTATCTGGAAAAACTGAACCTTTCCATCATAGCATCTCAGTGGAAAAGCTGTGACCGGTGACAGTCATGGAAAATTGCTTTTGTGAAGCAATACATCCTGGAGCAATACTCCAGCCTGACCCTGTGACCTGTGTGCGTGTGTTAATGTGATTTACTTACAGGTCGAAGACGAGGTAATGGAAACCTTCCTCCGAGATGCTGTCATGGAGCCGTACTAGTGAGAAAGAGAGAAAAAATGACTTCAATTAGAAACAGTCAATTACTGTAAGTAAGATGATTTTGATGATCTTGTTTTTATGGAAACACTGGGAACCACCATATTAATCTGAGTGTGAGGGACAGTGGTGGTTATTACTTGTGCCTTATAAGCAGTGTAACAGCTTACACTTACAATGTACATAGTAGTTTATCTTTTAGTTTTATTTGCACACAGATACAACTGAATTAAATCCAAACATTAAAAAATACAACGAATGTGACAGGAGAGGTCAAAGTAACAGATTTGGATGACAAATTAAAATAGTTTCCATATTTTATTCATTCATAATTGATGTGATATTGCTCATTTCTTTTTAGGGCTTCTCTCAGTTAAAGAAGCACCAGGTCGGAAAGGAAAGAATATACTCGGAGGGTCGAGTGGTTCCTTTTTTCTCCACACAAGGACAACTTCAAGCAATGGCTTTTGAAGTGCACACACACACACACACACACACACACACACGACACAGCAACCTACTAACTGGGTTTCACAAGTAGATTAAAAGACCTGCTTGTGTCAAGGTGAGTGAAGGTGCTTCAGTTGCTGAATTAGGCCTGGAAATGTGATGTATAACTCTTATTTCCTCCTTCAGATGACTTGCATTTAGAGAAAAGAAAACTTCACAGGCTCTTCCCTTGAGAGTGGAATAACAAAGAGCCATTGGGGGTGGAAAAGAAAAGAAGAATACGGTGATGAAAAAGCAGGAATCAGGTGGGACAAAGAATAAAGAGACCAGTGAAACCATACCTATTGAGCTGTTATCATACCCTGTGTGTCTGTATAGCTTGCATTGGGCGGCAAAGTATGATAAGACACTTGAAAGATACTATGCCATTTCCTTCCTTTTTCAAGGGGACACTGCCCAATGTCTGGGTTTCACGCACAAAGACAAACACACACTTCAAGTGTACAAGATGTGATGAATCTCAAGTTATGAGACATTTAGAGACACAGTCCTCCTTTCAAGCCTACTATTTATCGCTATAGAGATTAAACAAAGCACACTGGTTCTTTAGGGCCGGCCTTCTCAAAGTGTGACATGCTGGGACTTGAGCTTGTTAAAACAGGCACAAGTGCCTATGATTTGTTTGCATTTTGGCATTCTGCCACCATTAAAGGTACAAAGATTATTAGCTATTATCAGTTGCTGTTTGCAGTGTACCCATAAATATACAGACAACCTAGAGTAAAACTGTGATGAACTTCAGGCAAGTTTGTGATGGTCAAAAAAGATATTGATTGACATCTTTGGGAAGTGTAAGTCATACTGAATTCAAACCTTTGTTCATCTTTGTGTGTGTCCAGAGTTGTAGCTCAGAAGGAGCTTGATACTTTGAAGCAAACTGTGGCAATCAGGAAGTGTAGGAAGATGAAACTATTACATTGTCAAAAAGACCAAAGCAACATGGAATGTATCCTACTGACAAGAAGGTTATGGTTTGTTTATCCCAAACCTGATTTAGTTTTCATCTGTGGTGTACAGCCCAAGCATTGCCCAAAAATATTAAAAACATCAGTGAGCAAAAACTGGATGCCTTATTACCAAAAATATTTACTAACAACGCCACAGGCGAACCTTCACAGTCTCCCCGTTTTAAAAAAGTGCAACAGGACGCAACAATGATACAACCAGTATCAGTTTTTATGGCCTAGCTGGGGAGGAATCAGGTACTGGCCAAGTCAACCAGTTGTCTTGAATCCAACTGAGCATGTGCTTTACTTGATGAAGAAAAGGCTGAAATCTAAAAGCCATGAAAACCAAGAAGTGGCTGCAATTCATATAGTCTAGCTGAGAGACACCACGTCCTTTCCCATTTTCACTGTATTTATTAAACAGTGTGCAAAATCTAAGTTAAAGCACCTAATATCAGGTTACATATTAACACCCAAACGAGAGAGTCTGCTGCAATAACTGGAAGGTTGTTCTGACTTAACACAGCTGTTTCACCAACCCATTATTCTGTCTGTGCTCAAAGGTGACTCACCTATGTTCGGATGCTTCAGCAGACGACAGATTCTTGCCTCCCGCTCCAGTTTCTGGTGATCTGAGGGAAAAGGGCAGAGAGAGGAGAAACAAAGCACACAGTGTCAGTACCAGGAAGAGAAGCAATTAAGATATTTTGATCCTGTCCAACATGTGAGATTCAGTGACCAAACTAAAAGTAAAAGAACACTTCCTGGAAAACCGTTTGAGCGAATGGACACAGAAGAACATGGTGCCAGCATAAAATCACAAACAAACAACAACAAGGGCAGTAAAACTATCACTAAATCACTGATTGCAGGGAGGATTTCAGAAACTCCAGCACTAATGGCTTTATGAACTAAATTAGATTTTTGTTTTATCTGTGCAGACAGGTAGATCCAATCTCTTCTGCTCCTTCTAGTTTACTCAGAAAAAAATGTTTTCTTTTAAACCTGCCAATTTGTAACCAAAATCAAATCACCTGGAGCTGGACAGTCTGAAAAAGTTAGGATACAGCCATCCAGACAAGCAATGAGGCCATAACAGTGCCTGCCAATTAATGTGAGCTTGATCAAAGAGACAGACAGATTTATAACGCATGTGTGTGCACACAGCCTCTAGCACAAGCTTTTTGCACTTAGTGAAATAAGTCTTGTGGGTTCAGCCTCAACATAATCAGTGTCCAGTTAATGATTCTAATGGCAAGGGGAGGATGTCCATCTGTGTGTGTGTGTGTGTGTGTGTGTGTGTGTGTGTGGCGCGCTTGCATGTGCAGCTGCATGTTTAGTACAGACAGATTTGGTTGTGGGACCGATACAGTAAAAAGATACAGTGAATGGCACCTCCTGAAGCAGCATGTCAGAGGTCGGGTTCACACTGGCCTTTCCTGACACCCACCAGATGTTGGTCTCAGGGGACAGATGGGCTGCTTACATGAGTACACAATCTGGTGTGTGCGTGTGTGTGTGTGTGTGTGTGTGTGTGTGTGTGTGTGTGAGTGAGTGAGTGAGTGAGAGAGAAACAGAAGGAGGGACACTGCACATCTCATCCCCTCCTGCCCGAGGCTTTAGGCCATGCCATGGTGTGGGACATATTACAATTTGCTAAATATTCAAACATGACATATTCTACTCAAATAGAAAAGAATGACTTTATCAAGTGATCTAGGACATACATCTTAGTCCAAAGCCAAAAAAGCAAAAAATAACTTGTGTGTCTAGGATACATATTGTACTACATCACTGTGGATTTGACCCATACTGTACCTCAGGTACAAATGAATCAGAGGTGACAAATTAATTTAGAATAGCACAAATGCCATCTAAGATGGGGGAAAAAAAAACAAAGAAATGCTATGGCAAGGCAGAGAAACTAATGCTAGAGTAATTATATAATCTCAAATATATTCTCATAACAGTAGCTGATGCCAGATGTGAAATGTGAGATGTAACTAAATGAAAAGAAGCGAGAAGAGAACTGTGCATGGTGACCAAGCTCAACTCTGATGAGTCATCAAACTAAAGTAATGATTGCTGATTGATTACCAGGTGCTAGCAAAATAAAGTGTGAATACAAACTTTACTGTAAATGCCAGTCTACACATGGTGTCCTTATCTGTTCTGATGACAAGCAAACTTTAACTTGAGAATGAGATAAAAAAGGGAAAAAAAAGCAACCAAGACAGTAAAAGACAGGAACTTCACATTAGTTGGTTGTACTCCTGTATATTAAACGCTGTTTGACGATCGTGGCCGCAGCTGTGATCAAAACCAGAAATTCCACGCTTAGACACTTTGGAGAGGAAATGAATCAAGTTGTATGAAATCAATGAATGCAGCTAACAGGGTGGAGGTAACCCAGAGGTGCCCCTGACTGAAAAAACACTGGCAGGAAAAGAGAACAGGGGTACTTCCATCCTTCACAGCAAACTCCAAGAGACCTTTAAAAGAAAAGGCTGAATCAATTCCATAACTACAAGTAAATGTATAATTTGTGGTGTTGTATGCATACAAAGCATTTAAAATGTATGGATAATGAATGGAAATTAAATTACATGTCTGGTTTTAGTAATAATTCACTATGGTACCACAAACCAGCTCCAACAGGAAGGGATAGAACACTATGCTGAATTTAACCTCAGACCTCTAACCCACAGGGCTAAGCCAATCAGCTGCAGCTTTTCTCTTGCATGTCTGTAAAAAGACATAGGCCTGTCCTCTTCAGTTTAACATCCACGCAAGACCTCACAGACACACACGAGCTTCATTCTGACCAGTGTTCAGAGGACGAAATCAAACCATTCTGCTGACATTCTACAACCCTCTTCTCAGAGCCATAATGGGCTATTTTGGCTGCTTGTATTCTTAGAAGTTGGATCTGCCTGCAAAAATAGGACTCTTTTTCAATGCTGGCCCGAGATGATGGCTTTATTATGCTTGTGATAGCAGACAGTCCTGAGAGCTAGCCATTTAGAAAAACTAAAAGCTGACTGACGAGTTTCAGTAGACAGATGAGAGAACTGTATGGAAATGAAGAGAAACAAGAAAAACTGCAGGCTCTTTATAAAACCACCATTACCAGTAGAACATAACTGAAAGAGGCTAATAAGCTCTGATCAACCCGTTTTCTATCCTTTGCAGAATTTAGTATATTCAAGCCCACAGACAGCCTTCACCATCCCCACCCATACACACACACACACACACTGCAGTTACAACTTTCCAGAGAGACGCTGTGATACATTTTCAGTTCCAGAAAACACACAGCACTTAGCCCAATTGGAGTGAGTGATGACTGACAGCGTGGCACATCATATTCATTTATCCATTTAGCCTTCCCCTTATTACTATCTCGTCTAGAAGCTGTGAGCAGACTGGAGCAGTGGATGAATGTATGGATGTAGAGATGGCTTCTTTCAGCCCATATCCACTGTTTGAAAAGCAATCCATTCCACCTCCCTCCTGTACATCAATTAGATTCTGCCTGCAGGAAAAGAGACAAACAATACTGTACAAGAAATGCAAACACACTGAAAAGAGGGAGCATACAGCAAGGCCAAAAACAGGCAAAACACTGACTGGTAGACATTGCTATTCTGATATGTTGGTGCTATGCGGTCATCGTGGTGCTGGTTTTGCTCTGCACTGTTGGCACATTTTGTTGCTGAATTGCGAGTTCTTGTACAGTAATTCATATGAAAAACATGGCATCTTCTTCCAACTGCATCACAGTTCTATTGAGTTTTTAACTCACAAAAGGCTGAATATATACAATGATTTTCAAAGAAAAATATTTCAGAATTTGACAATGATAGCCTCCTGGGTTTTATAGTAAATGGCACCACATTTATTTACAGAATACATGATAGAGGTTTGATAGATTTTGTCAAGATTGCAACCATCTCTGCTGGTGTTTAAATAGTCAGCGTATCAGTCTACAGCTTCATCAAAGTGTCGTCTCCTCAGACACTGTCAAAGACTGAGCAGCCTGAGTCAACAAAGATCACAGTTGCCATTTACTGCTCTTCATCTGCTGATTGGAGCAAACCTGGCAACTCACTACCTAAGCACAGTTGGACATTAGCACAATGAGACACTGATTAGACACAACTAGCACACATTGAACAGCTTCTTCATTTAAAACATCTTTATCGTGAAGGCACACAGCTGCTATTGTTCCAAAGCAGTCACATAAAATTAATAATTATTTTGGCAGTTTACTTATTTCATATAAATCAGTTATACTTAGCCTAAAAAAGAAAAACAAGTTTGGGTGAATATTGTCTACATTGGTTTAACTTTACTTCATGTAACCTTAAACCAAGCCACTGGCATACCCCCACAAGGAAGGCAGGGTCCTCACAGTGTGAAAGTGTGGGCAGGATTTGGTCCCCACAATGTGAGTAATGCCAAGCGTACATTGATACTTATGTATGCGTACAACATAAGTGGAGCATTAATGTAATATCTTTGTATAAGTGAGAGAAATTGGTATCTAACCATGTTTACATAAAAGTTAACTTTTATCTGACTAGTTTGAAGAGAGACCCTGGGAAGATGCTTGACATTTAGAACAAGTAATCTCTTTAATGTTTAATGCAGTCGTACATGTTTACTGAGAAGAGGAGTAAATAAAATATACATACAAATAATCGATCTTGGAATGTCAAGAATCAATAACGGAGTTGTTCAAACAAGAATCACAATTAATTGGAAAAATAAAAATCAATCAATATTTTTATCCAGCCCTAGTCCAGTGTGTGCACAGGGGTGATTTGGGGGGGGGGGTCATCAACTTGTACTTCCATGTAGTGTTATTGTATTAGAGTGCATCTTTGTGTGGGTGTGGTGGTGTTGCACACAGCTTTTCCATTCAAACAAAGCCATTAGATAACGTAGTGATTCCATTTGAAGCGTTTAGCAACGTTCCAGTCATAACAAAGAAAACGGCGCTGTGAACACAGCTAAAAGCAGGGCTCTCAGCCTGGCTCCCTCGCAAACAAAACACATACAAAACTCCACAACCCAAATACACACAGACTATGTTTGGAAGCCGACTCCACTCTGAAACAAACACTGGGTGTGTCCCTTTCTAAATGACAGAAAACTCATAAAGCCCAGTCGCTCGCTTTGTCCAACTTTTAGTCTAAAGAATAAAGACTAAGATGAATAAATGGAGAAAATGTTCACCTTTTAAAAGGTGGACCCAGCAAATGTTGCCATTTTTACTTGATAAAACCATTAAACAATTGGTCATCAAAACAGTGGCAAAATTTTATTTTTCTGCTGATCATCTAAAAGATCAGCTGACATTTTTTAAGCTCGAATCAATTACAACAAACTACTAAAGATTTCCCGGATACAGGCGCTGGCATTGCTTTTCTCCTCAGTTTGTGGCACTGTAGTAATTTCTAAGTGCTCAAGTGAATTAGTATTAGGTTAATGGATGGATTGTTGCAGCCCTTCTCGTGATCAGTGTTCAGCACAATGTGGAAATGGACTAATCTAATTCATGCCCCACCCAAAGAAAACTGGATGAACATTACAAAAACAAGATATATGTGACTGACATCGCTGAAAG